GCTCTGGGCCCCCATCATGTGGGGCTGAAGGGAGGCCACGGAGGCAGGCGGGCTGGCATCGTTACTGGAGACGGACAGCGAGTCTGCAGGGACCAGAGAGAGACAACAACGCGTGACCGTGTGGCCCCAGTCCGCCCAGCGTCCAAGTCGGGCCATTTACCAAGAAGCCCCAGCACCGCCCAGTGCGTGCCTCACCCGACGGGCAGAAACGCCACAGGGCAGGCCGGTCCCACACACACGCTTTTCAAATGCTTCACACACTTGAGTTACACTAGAGACGATTTTTCTCAGGATGTACTGCCCCCTCCAAAAAATCCCAAGTCTCCAAATCAGTATCACTGTCACAGTTTTAAAATGTCATTGTCACGGAGAAGGTCACAGGCACTGTAGGATGGGATGTTTAAGTTATTTTCACTCATTTTCTTGATAAACAAAATCCAATAAAGAATGGTTTAAAGAAGAATTTACAGGAAATTAAAAACTAATCCCGTTGGATAAGTGTATTAGTCTGACTCACTCCCAGTGAAGAAAAGTACATCTCAGTAAAGAAACATGTGTGCATGCGTGTGCGTGTGCGTGTGTGCACGTGTACATTGGACCGGGCGGACTCTGTGACAAACAGCAGCTCTGGAACGTGCAGTGTCGGTGACCAGTGGCCGGGGCCAGGCTGGCGGGAGTGCTGGGCAGCTCCCCGTGCCCCCTTGCTCACAGCCAGACTTTGAAACTACACAGGCGTGTGCTTCTTTGCTCTCAGCCTCAGCCAAGCTGCCTCCCACGGTGGAGTCCATACCAGCAACAATGAACTAAACAACACATTTTTTAAAGAAATATGTGAGGAGGAGGAGTTCTTCCTCAAATAACCAAAACACTTACAGAAAGTATGTCCAAACTTCTCCTCGGATCTCAAACATTAAATGTAGTCAACTCCGAGCGGATGGTTTTTCAGGAGAACAAAGGAGATGTAAAAAAAAGTTGGTAACGGCTGACACTCAACAGACCCTGGGTTATGTGTGAGGCGTTCCCGTGCAAACGGAAAACCAGTGACCGTGGACGGGGGCCTTCTCCCGAGTCCTCGAACCCGGGCTCTGCCACAGGGGATGGCAGGAGGAAGAGCATTCACTATGCGTATTTTCTGAAATCGTTTGAAGTCTCAACAATAAATGAAACTAAGCCATTGGAGAGGTTCTTCCAGACAGACACCTGCCTTTGCTGTATTTACCTCTGTGGCCTGCAGGCCATTATGTGAGACACTTAAAAAGGGAGGGAGTCACTTCCTCCCAACCTGTGATTAGTGAGAGGCCACAGCCGTTGCCACTCAAGCTCCAGACGCCTGGAGGAGACAGCGGGGCCCCGACTAATGGCTGTCCCATCCCTCCCCTGGCCCAAGCCGCCCACGGCAGAGGGTGCAATCGTCCATAAACAAATGAGGCATTTCAAAGAGGGTCTCTCATTCTTAAAAATCTAGATCTTCTCAGAGGCCGACTTTGGTTCTGAATGAATCAAAGTACCATTCTGCTCAAGAGTAATCCCCTCTCCCCCTCCATATGTCTGGTATATGTGTGTGTAGGAACACATATAACCATACATGTTTTTTATTTTATTTATTTATTTTTAAATGAGTGACTGAAACACTTCCCCATCAGCTTTATTTTCCGCAGATGCCATCTGGAGGAGGCAGGGGGGAATGACACCATTAAGCTGACATCCAGGAAGCGAGACTGCTGAGGGTCTCATAAAGGTCACAGGAAGGAGATGTGCCTCAGCAACCCTCAGTGAGAACAGGAGGGACCAGGAAGAGGAGGGTTTGGATAACCCACATGCCAGGTGATAATTTATTCAACCAAGTACTAACTATTAGAAAGACATGGTGACATATTTCAGTCATTTAATGTGCTGACTCAGAGTCAGGCCCTGTACTTGCCACCTGATGGAGATGAATGATACCCACTTCCTCCCCACATGGGCTGACCACAGTGTTTCCTGGAGTCACACAGCCTTTGTACAGGGAAGAATGGACACATGCTATACGTGAGTCTCAGCCTGTTAGAGGTTGAGGAGAAATGGAACCAGGTGGAGTGATCCTGGAGGGCTCCGTGGAGGAGGCAGCACCGAAGCCAGCCTTTGAAGGAGTCAGGCCTAACACCCATGTACTAGAGAATGTAAACTCCATGAGGGCAAGGGCTCATCTGTCTTGTGACTTGTACTCCTAGGGCCTTGTACACAGTAGGTGCTTATTAAGTGCCAAACGGAAACATCAGAAATCTCCGGCCTAAAGAAATCGGCCAAGCTGACTCACAATCCATATGTTACCAGTAAGAACAGTCATTTCTTCAATGTATATGCCCTCCGTTGAATAACTGCCCAAGACAAATACCTATGAAGGTGGTGCACCGGTGGAGGTGGGGGCAACACGCTGGACAGGCCTGGATGAGGCGAGGTGTCACTGATGGAGAGCTGCCGTGTCTTTTATGGACCAGAAGGCAGGCAAAGGACCGAGGCCCATATACACTTTAGGTCTTTACACTCATAAGCAGATACTCAGACATCAGAATAATGGGGAACACCACCTACGTGAACAAATGAACTGCACATGTATTTCTGTGCCTAAAAAATGGGGATCGGGGGCATTGGCATGGGAGCAATGCAGCAGACAACATGAATCCTAAGTGGAAAGAGGATGCCTACCAGGAACCCTCAGTCTCCTTGTCTGCCCAAACTCGCAGGGTTACAGAAAAGTGAGAGAGCTCTTGGCCGGGGTGAGCAGCGAGGGCCGGGCCTGAGCCTGAAGGCAGGGACCCGGCGGGCATCTGTGGGAGAGCAGACCTGCGGTTTGTCACTAACAGTTCGGGGACCCACATAAGAAGGAAGGGAAAAGGGTCCATATCCTGCCAGCTGCAGACAAAGAAGGATCACATTTCATTTTAACCCTCTCCTCGCTTTCAGAACGGGAAAGTCTAAAGATGCCTCTTCGTGTTACAGTCAACACTGGATTGCTCAGCAGGACTGCCTGTAGGTCAGCGGTTCTCAACCTGTGGGTCGCGAGCCCTTTGGCGGCCGAACAACCCTTTCACAGGGGTCGCCTCAGACCATCCTGCATATCAGATATTATATTACGATTCATAACAGTAGCAACATTACAGTTATGAAGTAGCAACGAAAGTAATTTTATGGTTGGGTCACAACATGAGGAACTGTATTTAAAGGGCCAGGAGGTTGAGAACCACTGCTTTAGGTGGATGATGTTCAGGGCATTCTAGGAGCTGGTAGTTGTACAAATTGGTTCAAAAGAAAAAGAAATTAGAGACGTCGTGTCCTAGCTTCTCTCTGTGGGCTCGGCCGCCTAGGATTTGGTCCTCTGCACTTTGGAAAGCAGGTTCAAAGGAGATCTCCCCCTCAACTGGCAGGTCGAGCACTAAACACGGCCGTGGCCTGGATGGACCGTCCTGGACCAGGAAGGGGCAGAGCACCAGGCCACGCTCGAAGTGTTGCAGACCAATGCCCTACAGGGAACAGCAGGGCTTCCTGAACAGCTCTGCACCACATCACTTGCCTGACATTACTTCACTCTGCTGGAATATTTATGACTTAGAAAAATGCTAGCAGCAAAGATAAACCAAGAAGGGAATTTTTGTCCATTTTTATTATTTTTAAAAATTATGTTTTCATTGATTTCAGAGAGAGAAACATCAATGATGATAGAGAATCACAGATAGGCTCTCTCCTGTACGTGCCCTGTTGGGAATGGAGCCTGCAACCCAGGTCTGTACCCTGACCAGGAACCGAACCGTGACCTCCCGGTTCATGCATTGATGCTCAATTGCTGAGCTTAGCATGCTCAGACATTCTCAAAATCATTTTTAGGTGAAGGATGAATGAAAAAACCTACTGAATTACTTTATTCTGTTTGTAATTAAAAAAATAACTTGTCCCCTCAATAAGGGAACATCAGCATAAAGAGATCAGAACATCAAATCATTTTAAAAAATGCTCAAGTGTGTACGAGAAAGTCACTTGTGAGCTGCCTGAAGCCCCGAGAGAGAAAAATCAATTAAAGTCGATTTTGCCTTATTTTGAGGGGAAAACACCCCAAGGAGACGGCTTCTTGGCTGAAGTTGGAGTTCACACAAAGTCCACGCTAGATTTCTTCTTGAAGTAATGAGAAAGCTAAAGAAAGGAGGGCAAAGCTGAGCCCTGACCCTCAGCCCCACACAGGAAAGAATTCCTCCACGTGAACACACACACACACACACACACACACACACTCCCCTAAAACTGCTGGGAGAAGAGAAATCGTCTTCCAGTCCCAGACTGTAAATTTGAGACATCTGTGATTAATAAAGCACTTTAAAAAAAACACGTAAGAAGAAAAGGAAAGGGTCCATATCCTGCTAGCTGCAGACGAAGGATCACATTTCATTTTAACTCTCTCCTCGCTTTCAGAAGAGAAAAATCTAAAGATGCTTCTGAGTGTTTGGAGTGAAAACTGGACTGCGGAGCAGGACTGAGCCCTGAATACCAACTCCGGCCTCTGACTCGGACTGTCCCCAGATCTGCCCACTTCCTTGCAGGGCTCAGTGTGTCTCCTCCACTGTCTCCACCGCACATGGCAGGGGCAGAGATGTCTGCTGCTGTGTTTATGCTGCGCTTTAGAGTTTAAAGCCTGCCTTTCCCTGACAGTGCTCACTGCACAGACCAATGGGCATTCAGGAGGAAGGGGCTGAGGCTCGAGCCCCCCTGGGGGGCCTGCACTGGGCCTGGGTATCTCTCACAAGGCCCCCGTGTCCTGGTTGTGAAATGCCTGGCTCCTCACCCGGCTGCTGGGGGAAAGGAACAAAAATGTCTTTGTAAACGGAGAGCCTAACACGCGGATGAAGCAATACTCACATTTTTGCATAGAAAAAGCAATTGCTAAAGAGGAGGAAGAAAGCAGGACAGAGTGGAGCTGGGACATGTGGGAGGAAGACAAGCCCCCTGGGCAGCAGCAGCAGGAAGACCGGGCGAAGCTTGCGCCCTTGGACGGCTGGTGTCACAGGGCTTCACCCTCCCTGCACGTCTGCTGGGACAGGCCTCCCGCGCGCCACAC